GATTATTATTATTATTATTATTATTATTATTATTATTATTATTATTATTATTATTATTATTATTATTATTATTATTATTATTATTATTATTATATAGAATGTGAATGTATATGTCGGTTCAAATTCATAACACCCGTTCTTGTGGTGTGTCACTAGTTTTTGTCATCGACAAATTTTAAGTAATTTACAAAAGGAACATGACATTAAATTTATTTAAATTGACGTTTTAGTTTCTTCTGTAATCAATAAAATTTATTCAAAGACACAAAAAGTTAAAAAGACCGACAAGTGGTGTGTACTTGTTGAGCTTGGGTCACAATACAACAAGAAGGATAACGAGTGTAGAAGGTTGATTGTTCCAAACCCCGCCGCGTCTCGTTGCAAAATGGCCCCTCACCTCAATCAATGAACACCGCAACATGGTACCAGCCACCTTCACAAGACGCCATCAGGTCAATTTCGTCATTGCATATAGTTACAACATTCCTATTACACTTAAATCCCTGAACTTATTACATATTACATAATGACCCTTCAACCATCCAAAAACATCATTATAATGATGTAACATTTGATTTAGAGGAAAGTTGAAAAAAGGTAAAGTAAAAGGGGGTAAAAGGGAAATATCTGAAAAGCAACAAAAAACCTGTCGTTTCAGTCCAACCGCCCAATTACGGTTTCGTACACATTCTAGATTCCACCGAACACTCTGTCACCAATTCACCATAACTTTTCTTGAAGTACAACATCCAATGCATAACGTACACATAATTGTGATAATTACCAAAAATCGTTTTCAATTATCTGGAGTTCGAATATTCGCATCCCGCAACCAAATGCGGGTCCAGTTTCTGTTATAAAACCCCCTTCTTCTCCGTCTCTGCCGTAACAACCATCCAACTATCAACCAAAACCTAACATGACCGAGGTTTTAAACAACGATTATCGAGTCTGCGAAGAGATCGGCCGAGGTCGATTTGGGACCGTCTACCGGTGTTATTCCAACGTCTCCGGCCACGCCTTTGCCTGTAAGACCATCGACAAACGCCTCCTATCTGATCCCACCGATCGTGACTGTCTTCAGAAAGAACCGAAAATCCTTCACATCCTTGGCGGAAACTCTCACATCGTCCAGATCCACCGGCTCTATGAGGAAGAAAACTATCTTCATATGGTTATCGACCTATGTGACACTCCAGATCTTTTCGACCGTATCTCTAAACGTGCCGGAGTGTTTTCTGAGTCGGAGGCGGCTTCTATTTTCTCTCCGTTGATTTTGTCGATTAGTTATTGTCATCGTTTAGGTATTGCGCATCGGGATATCAAGCCGGACAATGTTTTGTTTGATTCCAGGGGGAATTTGAAGCTGGCCGATTTTGGATCGGCTGAGTGGTTTGGGATGAATGATCGGGGAACGATGACCGGAATAGTTGGGACGCCTTACTATGTTGCGCCTGAGGTTTTATCTGGGAGGGAGTATAATGAGAAGGTCGACGTTTGGAGTGCTGGTGTGATTTTGTACATAATGTTGGCAGGCGTTCCTCCCTTTTACGGTGAAACACCAGCGGAGACTTTTGAGGCGGTTTTGCGAGGAAATCTACGCTTTCCGACAAGGATTTTTAGGTCTGTTTCGCCAGAAGCGAAAGATCTGTTGAGGAAGATGTTATGCAAAGATGTTTCTAGACGATTCTCTGCGGAACAAGTCCTGAGTAAGTCGAAATCTTATTCTCCTGTTTCTTCTCTGAATCAAATAAACTACAATATAATCCCTGATTTGTTTGTATTTGGGGCTGTTATTAAATCTGTTATGATTAAATTATAGATTTCTAAGACTGTTTTGGTATATTTCTCTACAGGACATCCCTGGGTTGTAAGCGAAGGCCAAACTCGATCCATGGCGGATCTAACCTGACTTCTTGAAGTCCTGGCTATGAAATCAACAAGGGTTTTTTCATCTGTTGATTTTTAATCCCTGATGAATCAACAGACAGAAAGAGAGAGAGCGAAAGTTCAATGAATCTTTTGAAGTTGAGGAAGACTGCATTTTCTTAGGGTTTTTTTTCTCTTTTTTTTTCTTTTTGGTTTAGAAATCAAAGATGGTTGTTTTTTCTTCTTCCACTAATATTCCTTGGAGAAAGGAATGAATCATCTAAAGTAGTAAAAGTTTTTGTAAATATAGTGAAGAGAAGTTAGAAGAGGCATATGATGAATAAAGTGTCTGGTGTAAATGTTGATGGGAACACAGCAGAGAGATGGAGCATCCTCTGTTTTTCCTTGCATGGTTTTTCTGGATTTTGAATATGAATAAAGTGAGCTAAAATTCCTATGTGATTTTGTTGCTTTTTGAAGTGGTAATTTTCTTGAATTTGCATCAACATATGAAGAACTGATTGTTATTGGAATAAGGTGCTCAACAAGCAAAATAGAAAATTGGAATTGGAATCTTGTTAGAAAGAGTTAAATATTAGTGATATTTATTAAAGATGATTTAACATAAAAAGGGTTTATGTTTTTTTATTTTATTTTCAAAGGTTTGTGTATGGAAACCGCACTATCATTATTTAATGTTAACAAGATTAAACTTTCATTTCAGCTGAAGTTTATTTTTTATTTAAGCTTTCATGCTGATTTTTTAAGTAATGAAACAATATTTGCTAAAGTAATTATCGTTTTATATTATTAAAAGAGTATTCGCACAATGCAGCGAGATATATCTCAATTTAAATGTTATATTTTATTTTTTATTTCTGTTGATGTTATAATATTTTTATGTGTTTTTAAGAAAACAATAATTATTTTATTTTTGAATAAAATATAAATTTGAAGATATCATAAAAATTTGAAAAAATATATCAATGTTAATATCAAATCAACTATTTAGAAGTTTTCATCTTTTGTGTAATTTCTTTAAATTAATTTTTTTATTATAATTTAATTTAAGTTTAATAATCAAATAATTTATTTTTGGTTTAATAATATAACATTTTATAAAGATAATAATTAAAAAATTCTGTTAGAACTCAATGATTATTCTAATTATATTTTAGATTTTTTATATTTAAAAGAAGATGTTTATCCTGTATTTGATTATGTTTATCTATAGTTAGTTACACGAATTCAGATATGGAGCTTTAATAAGTTGTACTTACGCACAATTTACTTATAATCTTGAGTCTTAAGTAACATGGATTAATAAACAATACTTTATGCATAAAAAATAATTTTTAAAATTTTTTATCAAATAATTTATAATATAATATAAATTAGGTGAAAATATATTAAAACTGAATTTATTTTGTTTTGATTTTTAATTTTAAAAACTTTATTTTGAACCTGACAGTTGGAACAATAATTAAAGTCAATTAGTTCTTTAAAGTGTTAAATTTCTTTTTTTCATTAAAAAAATACTCCTTCATGTAGTTTTAAAAATATATATTTATTATACTTTTTAATTAACTAATTGATAATTTTATACTTAATAATAGACGAACAAACTATAAAAAATATTAACACTTAATTTTGGATTGAGAGAGCACTAAAATTTCCAATTTTTTTAAAACTAGTCTTATTAAATTTTGATGTAATGTTAAAACTACTCTTTCAATTACAAAAGCTATGATTAGAAAACCGAATGTGACCTAACATTTTGCTAATTTAAGCCATTAATAAAAATGTGACACATAATATTTGATAAAAATCCAAGCATCATATGATTTATATCCATGAGTATGTTTTAAAAATATTTCTGAAAAATGTTATAATAAAGCATCAGCATTTGGAAAATTCTTGGGGATATTTTGGGCATATTACCATCATATTCTCTACTTTTTTTTTTTTTTTTTTGTTTTATTTTCCTTTTTTAACTTTAAGAAATTGCTTTTAAATAGTTTACTATTGATTGAGATCTCTATTGTACCTTGGTTTATGCTTTTTAGGAATCATGTAAACTTTTTTATTTGAGCCGACTAATCCCATGATGACCATCTGTTTTTTAAATAGCCCGAAGTCACTGCAATTGAACCTCTGTGGCCACAAGAGGATTTTTATTTTTTTCATTGGATTTGAACCTGAGACCTCATTGTACTTTTGATCTTTGGAGTCAAGTTCAAACCAATCAGACACCACCCTTATGGTTGGAATCATGTAACCTTACCTTTCAAGCAAACCTAATTTCTTTTTCCTGTATTTATACTACATAATCTATATTAAAAATCATGTTAATTTATTAATAAATATATAAATCATGTTAATTTATTAGCGCATGCCTTTTTCACAAGCATATATTGAAGATTAAAGAAGCAATTATCAGTATAATTAATTATATTTTAAGAAATGATAACGATAGTGTCCAAACTTTAACCAATTAAAGCAGTATTATTTAATGAAACGACTCCTTAAAGGTTGTGAAAAAATATAACTTTTTTATGGTACGAATGAAGTAGTACTTGTAGTAGGACGAGTAGAAACGCACTATCATGCGCATTAACCTTAAAGCAAAAAAGGCAACCTATTGTGGAATAACACATGGTTACGTGAAGTAGGACTTAAGTTATTCCTTTTTTGTACATAAACTTTTTGATGAATCAACAAGATTTACTTTTTTATTGTAAAGAATCAAACGTTTTGATTCGATATACACACACATTAGACCTGTTACTTAATTTCAATTCCCATTATACTGCGGTGGTTCAAATCACTACAACAAAATGGAGTTTATAAGACGCTAATTGTGTTTAAATGTCTTAATAGACTACTTTATAGGAGTTGCGTTTATAGGAACAAACTTTGTGTGTTATACATAAAAGTATTGTAACAAATGTGTACAACACTTTTAGACGTCTTAACAAGCTTTTTAGAATAACGTTCTATAAAATAATTAATAGAACATTTTGTTTCAAAAGTGTCCAAAAAGCTTCTTAATATACTCAAAAAACGTCATATAAACTTATTACCATATGTTTAGATTTGACACACAAGTGTTTGGTTTCTTAAACTTAAGTCTTATAAAGTAGTCTATTAAAACCCTCAAGCATTTTTGGTGTAATGTAAACCCCATTTTGTTGTAATGAATGGAAAAAGTTCATGAAAACCCGGAAGTATTAAAAAAAGGAATAAAAAATGTATAACAATATGAATATCAAATTAAAGAAATAAAGTAGTCATTTTTTCGGTATACTTTGTTTGCCTAAAATTTTTGTTTAAAATTTCGTGTATATGATTAAAATAAAGAAGAGGAGTAAATTTTGTTTCAAAAATAATAGTGCAACCGTTTTTCTAATCACATCGTTTTAATCAAATTCGTCTAACATTTTAGGTCTATTTTTATATTTCTCGCATTTAAGACTAATTTTATATAATATATCAAATAAGAAAAGATATTTAAATGGTTTTTCTTCTAGAAAGAATAATGAATGGTCCACCAAAAAGGTTTGAAATTTGGGAGTCCCCATATCAGATCTGTGAATCGCCCCGTCTTCATTCAGATTCAGACCAAATATTAAATATACAAAATAAATTATAAATTATAATATTAATTACTCAAACTCAAGGACCCTGCCGCACTAATTTTATGACTTTTACATCCTTCAAAGGTCCACCACTCACGTTTTATTCATTTTTAAATAAATAAAATACAAACCAAAATAGAAAATGGTTTCGTAAATCAGGAATATATTTAAAATAATATTTTAAAATATATATATATATATAAGTTTTATAAACTAAAAGAATATAAACAGCTTTAGTTGATCATAAAGATAATTGCAGTATGAAAAATATGATAAGGTTTAATAGCGCACAAATAAAAAGTTAAAGGACTGATTTGCAATTTAAGAAAAGTATGGATGCAATGGTGAAGAAGCACAACGACTTATCGTATCAAATCAGTCATGTGGCAGATACAACTTTTCCCTCACCCGCCCTTCCATATTGACTTGTACCTGAAAATAGACATCACGTTTTCTTTTTCCTATACGTAACATTTTCTTTAAATATTATGCATCGGAAAGAGTTAAACCAGAATATCTACATTATATTATAAAGTATTGAATAAAAAAACAATTAAATTTTTTTTTTATGTATAAAGTACAGTTTATTAATATATATTACTTAAAATTCAAAATTACAAGTAGAATGTGCATGGATACATATTATTAAAGTTTCATGTTTAAATTCGTATAACCAATTGCAGATAAATATAATCAAATAAATGATAAACATCATTTTTAATATAAAAAATCTAAAATATAATTAAGATAATCATTGAGTTCTAACAGTATATTTAATTATTATCTTGAAAAAAGTATTTTATTAAACCAAAAATAAATTAATTCGTTTTTAAAATTCAATTAAATCATAATATAAAATTGAATAAAAAAACTAAAAAAAACTTTTAAATAGTTAATTTGATACTAATATCACTTATTTTTATCAAAATTTTATAATGTCTTCAAATTTATATTTCATTCAAAAGTAAAAACATTTTCTTTTTCACAAAACCACATAAAATCGCATTATAACATTGATAGACCCAAAATATAAAACGAAACATTAAAATCAAAATATATCTTGTTGCATTGCGCAAGTACTCTTCTAGTATTTTTTTTAATAAATATATAATAAATCTTTAAATTAATTAATACATAATAAAAATTATGATAAATGAAAATAAATTAATATTTATCTATAATTTTCTGTTATCCTATATTTATCTTTATATCTTAAATTTTGTTATTATTATCGAAGACTTTTTATGTTGCATCCGTTGTCGATAATAATGTGATAATGATCTGATTCTGTTGTGATAATGATTTGATAAACCGAAGACTTTTTATGATGTGATAATCATCTAACAATTATGTGATTTTTGTTGTAACGACGATGTGATAATGTTGTGATAATCGAAAAACAACGATGATCACGTCTATATTCTTTCTGTTCATTATGTGATTTTACTGTGACAATATTGTGATTTGATACCTGTTAGCATATTATTTGTATGTGATTTTAATGATAAGAATGTTATTAAAATTACAAATAAATATGAAATCATATGATTATCCTTAATTAATTACTTTATTTTCTTTTATTTTTTTATTAGGGATTAAATAATTTAGAGGCCAATCAATGTTCTCTCATTCTCGGAAATCAGAGATGTTCTCGTTTGAACCTTCACTTATACATATATATATATATATATATATGGTTGAGTTTCGGTGAAAATAAGAGTTATAATAATAAGGATAAGAAATGATATCTCCTTTTGAACCAATTCTAATTAAAGAGTTCCACTATATTAGCACTAATGAGAAACACTTCTGACTGATATCCACTTTTTATTGAGATTAAAAGTGATCAACGATTTAAATCTTTTCTTACACTTATCACCTTAATTTTTATTGTTATACGATTATTCTTGTGTGTGTGTATATATATATATGCACACATATATCAAAAATCAAATAAAAACTTGCTAATAGTTAAAAATCATATAAATAATATCATGTATAGTTTTGTAGATGAAAATAATAGATGAAGTTTGATTTTTTAAGTTATGGTTTATATTGTTTTACATGTTTTGTTCTTATATTTTTAAACAATATCATTTGGAGTTCTTGCAGAGTGGAATCGTGCAGTACTAGAGACGAGATAGATCTTCCAAAGAACAAGGCCTTTTTCGAATAAGCCAATTCATTTGGGATCCTGCAGATCCACTCTTTTTCCTATTCAAAGCTTAGCCTTTTGTCTCTGTGTTTTCACATCAAGAATTATTTGCAGATGAAGAGATGTCAAAAGGGCGTTTATTTTACATGTTTCGTTCATTCACATTTCATCTACGAAACAATACTATATGAATGATGCATGTTCATCTGTGTTGTTCCATCTATGGAAAACAAATACAAACATGTTTTAACGGTTTTTAACTTTTAGGCTATTTTTATTTGATTTTCCTTCCTATATATATAGCCGGTTCCATAAGAAGGTAAAATATAGTGAGAAATTAAGAATTAAAGGTTCATATGTAAATTATCGAAAAAATCCTGAAAAAAAAACCATTTGAAAATTGTATGTGAACTTACATTACAGATTATTCATATGAGTTGACATGTTTTTTTAAATATATTTTCAATTATTTACATATTAACTTACTTTAACCATATATTTTTAATTTATCACGTCACGATATTTAACCTCTTTACTTGAACATAATACTATAATTATATATAACAATTATTTTTTTAGTTTATAAATATTGAAATTTCAAATATTAAATATTATTGTAATTTAACTAAATTTGATTTTTTATTTTAAGAAATGATTTTGTATTATTGCTTTTAGAAGGAAGAAGACTAGATTGGCAGAGGAGAAAGGCAAATGGAAAGAAAATAAGACCCCCTTATGGTTAATGAATTTAAATCCACTATGTTAGATCTCATCATTGATGCCTCAGGACAAACTATAATTGAAGGAAGACATCTATAAAAGAATCAAGACTGTTATCAGTTAAACACCATAGTTAAATGTAACTGAATCAACATAATAATAAAAAATAATAGATATTTTAACAAATACAATATAAATGATGTGAAATCTATGTTAAAATAAAAGTATGACTCCTCTTGAAGATATTTGATTCCTAATGTTTATATTTTCTACTCACATTGGTCTCAGAATCAAAATAAATACAGATATGTACTCCTGGTTGACATTTTCACATTCTTTGAGTCCCTGTCTCTAAGAGAACAATTTTTTCCCCGTTAATCCAGTTAAATCTTTGAGGTACTTTAGTTTTTCACCTTGCTTTTTGTCTTTATCTTAATAAAGAATAAATATATATATTGCATCAGCTACAAAAATTTACCATATCTACCTCAACCCATTCAATCACCGTCTTTGGCACCGATCACCATCTCCAACCATTATAGCTTAATTATACCCTTACCTGTCGTCAAGAACACGGTCTCCTACACCTCCCTTCACCTACTTGCATCCTCGTCTCCACCCATTTCTTCGTCTCCGATGAAACACCCTTCCCCCTCTCCCGCACCACCCTCATCCTCCTAAAATTCCTCTTTATTGCCACCACAATTGAAGAACATATCCATGAAATCTAAGTGAAACCTCAAATTAAAACCTAAAAACCATAAATGAAACCTATATTTCAAATGAGTGTTTATTTAGACTTCAAACCTTAGTCGAGATGGATTTTTAAGAATTTGATTATGGTATTGAGTTAATTAAGCTTAACCTACCATGGCAAAAACTTTTCGATGGAAGTATTCACGCCCCTTTTCATCAACACAACTTATGTAGATGAAGAATGTAAACCAACTGAAAGACAAAGAAGACATCCTTCCTTCTTTTTCTTGTTTTAGTTTCCTCTCTTTTTTCCAAATTACCTCATTTTGTTCCAAGTAAGACGACGGAGGAGCCGATGATTCACTACGAGGAGATGTTGAGGCGAGCCAGTGGCGGTCGACAATTATGAATATACCTAACGACATCCCCATCTCTGTGTTTGTGTTTGTGTTATGTATATGTGTATTATATACATGTAATATATATATACTTTTTTATTATTTTCTTAATGGAAAAGAATACAAAAGGAATAAAATGATGAAAGTATCCCTTTAAGTTAAATGTGTTAACATATTCTGTTAGAGGAAGGGACTTAGGGAGTGCGAAAATGCAAACCAGGAGTCCCAAGGTGTGCGAAAATGTCAAACATGAGTACCATATATGCATTTAATTTGATTCTGAGACCATTGTGGGTAAAAAGTGTAAACCACATGACCAGATCCATAATTTACTCTAATAACTATTTAGTATGGCAACTTTTCAATGATAAACGTGAAACATAATATTCTTATGAGAGTGAATTATACTTTGTGGTCCTTATAGTTTGATTAAATTTTTGATTTGGTCCCTAAAATGAAATATCAATATATATGATCCTCAACTTTTCAATTTCATAACAATCATGGTCCTTGAATTTAACACCATCGGTTAACAGCTATTATAAGAGACAAATCAATTTTTAGATAAACTACAAGGACCAAAAGTGTAATTCACTTTAAAATTAATTTAATTCACATTTTTTCAAAAAAATATTTATTAAAAATATTTCAAATACAGTTAACTTTAGATAATTGTATATTAAAATTTATTCCTTTGGATAAGTAATTATTTTGTTATGAAAAAGACAATCATGTTAATTTTAAAGGTTAAAATATTATGAGAAATTATTAAATTGAATTATTAAATAATAGTGAATAAGTTATAACAATTAAATTGATAAAATAGTCAAAATATTTTTTGTTAGCCATTTTTAAAAAATAATTAAAAAAATATTTGTGAATCACATTAATTTTAGAGTTAATTACATTTATGCTATCTGACAGTGTTAACTTGGGCTTTTTACCAGATTATAGATAACTTATTTTAGTGATCAAATCTAAAATTTAAACAAACTACAAGTACCACAGGTGTGATGCACTCTTTTTATGATGATAAGAACATATTTAATTCTTAATATATTAAGTTGTAAAAACCAGTCATTTAGATTTGTTGGCATAACACCATTCAAGTTAAAGGTGAAAGATCGTGTGAGAATAAAAATTAAGGTGACAAACGTGAGAAGAGATCTGAACCCTTGATTACCTTTAATCTCAAAATCCACTCATAAATGACGTTTGATACGAGTATTGATCCATGCATTTCGGTGCATCTCATCCTATTGTGCATCCAAGGATTAAGATCTCTACTTACGCTTCTCACATTAGCTATCATTTTTTCGCAAACCCAAACCTCAAGTTAAGAAGAAGTTTATACTAAATTACAAGACATTTAAATAAATGTTTTAAAAATAATTTAGTAAACATTAGTTGCTGATTAATAACAAAATAATAATCATGTCGTTATATAAAAAGTACTTGTTAAACCATAAAAAAATAACTAACTTGGTTCCTTCTATATTGGGCCGACCGATTGCGGTCCCTACCAAAGATCCTAAGACCGATTATAGGCTCGGTAACCGGTCCTGACCCGGTTGCTTAAAACAAAATTTTAAATATTTTTTACACATTATTAATGTTTATTTAATGTAGATTTTTTTAATAAGGGGTTGCACCTCTTGGTAATACTCGTATCACCATACCCTAGTCACATCTGGTTTACTAGCCGGGCTTGGGCAACCGGTTGTGCTTCGAACAAGGATCAACGAGATGCCCATCTAGATGGTGTTGCGAGGCACACGACACCATAGCTTGCTTTGGCTTGCAGAACCACGTCATTGGCATGTCTCGTGGCTAGCTTAGCTTGACAACTCGACATGCTTCGAACAAGGATTAACGGACGATTGGGGCCTCAGTAGCTCGCACCCAATTCATGGGCCCCTTTCATCAATCAAGCGTCATTAGCCTTGAATTATACTTTAAATAATGCATTTGTTTGATCTTTTTTAAAACTTGAAAATTTTGACGAAATAAAAACGTCAAATCTTGTACAAAATCTTAAAAATCTTATACAATAATTAATAAAAACTTTAAATACTGAAAATCAATCCTATACGTAACCAGTCCCGATTACCCAGCCTATTTTCATAAAATTTGTAACCGGTCCCAAATCGTCGGACCATAACCGGTCCCAATTGTTCCTCGGCCGGGCCGGCTCAGTTTGGCCATCTTTATCCTAAGTCCCTAAGGAGACTTGAACGGATGACCTGCGGAGAACGAACCAAGTTGCCCCTCAAGATTTTATTTATACAATTCTTCCAGGCAAAAGAATGTCTAACAAACGAATTTTGTGGTGTCGGTATATTCACAATACAACAATAAACATCGACACTTCTAAGAGCGAAAAATAGACACAAATGCCATTTGTAATGCATTCGTGATTCACAGAAACTATCTTGTTGACCAATAATAAGAACAAGTTATGTTTACCTCGACTTCAAGTGGCATTTTTCACGGTTTGGCTGCCGTGGAGCTCCCAAAAAGATTGATCATGGATTTCGACTTTGATTTTTTAACAATGGGTTTGAGTATTCGGAAGGAGCAGACGAGAGTGTCGTCAACACTGATAAAAGCACCCGCATTGTCAAATTCCCCGCAATAATTGGGCGCAGAAAACACGGTCACAAGTTGTCGATATGCAAAGAACTCATATCCATCCTCCACAACCTGAAAGTAAAACACTTTGAAACTCCATTGCCATTCTACTTATCTTTTCCTTTCAATGCACAAATACTTCAATTTTGAAGTTGAATGTAAATTCAGAGGGTACTCCATTTTGTTTAACAAAAGCAGTATAGAATGCTAATCTGTGCTTTCTTTCAACATCATTTCCAAAACTTGGGACATAATTGCAAATGAGTGTATGTATATGTGTATATATACAAACCTGGTGAGCGCGGCAAACAAGATCAAGATCATGTTTGAGTAGAAACTCTGTGACAACATCAGCACCAAACGTGTAGGAAACCCCACGATCATTCATGGCCCATCCTTTGACATCTTTGTGCGGATCTGACCATAGAAGATCACAAAGCAAACCACCATCGGGGACATCAGCAGGACGGCTTAAATCTCTAATTTGATCCAAGTGATTGAGATCGGGAGAAAGACCACCGTGCATACACAGAATCTTTTCACTAATGAGAGCTGCGACAGGTAAACAGTTGAAGCAATCGGAAAAGATCTTCCATAACTTAACGTTAAATCTTCTTTTACATTCATCATAGAAACCGTATACACGGTTTATAGAAGCACACTCATGGTTTCCACGCAAAAGGAAGATGTTATTTGGGTACTTAATCTTGTAGGCAAGAAGAAGGCATATTGTTTCAAGGCTTTGTTTGCCTCGGTCAACATAATCACCAAGAAATAGGTAGTCGGCTTCAGGCGGTAGTCCATCCTGCTCAAAAAGACGAAGAAGATCGGAGAATTGACCATGGATGTCACCTAAAAACCATCAGTAAATAATCAAAAGAACGATTCAGCAAACTTATGATTCAATTATGAGAACTGAAGTACTTTAAGATTCCTGATTTTGTGATTTCTAAATGGATTAGATACACAATGAATGGTCAAAAAAAGGCACTTTAATAGAACAATATCATGATTTCAAAGGGAAAACATAGAATCAATGAAATATACATAAACCATAAACAGGGATTAATACCGCAAATCTTGATGGGTGCTTGAAGCTCTAAGAGATTAGGCTGTTGTAAGAAAATCTGTCTAGAAAGGCCACAAAGTTGCTTGATTTCTGATTCAGTGAGCTGAAACTGCTTAACAGGTTTGCCTCTAACTTCAAGCAGCCTATGGATTATATCATCAACAACAGATTGCTCCATTGCAGCTCACATATATATATGTTAACCGATTAGACCCTTTATAAACTATATGTGTGTCAAAACATCATCGAAGGAAAGAAATGGAGTTTTGAGGGGAGATTGAAGACATAGCCTAAAAAAGTGAATTTGGGGGAAAATAGAAAAAAGTCAAGACCGAAGAATGAAGATGGGCAAACGTTGGACCGGAGAGCAGTTGCCGTAAGAGATGACGTTGACGACGACTTTATTTGCAATCCTGCCCACGGTTTTTTTTTTTTTTTTTTTAAATAAATTAATGACACTTTATTGCCGTTCTATGAAATACAATTGCATCGGTAACAAATAAAAATGGTCATATTGTTGATTGTTTAGGATTAGCGTCTTTTTGTACTTAACATATGTGTATGTTGTTATCTCTTATACAATGTCATCAAAAGTCCTCGATGCAACAGAACCTTCAAAAAGATTGAAACGTCCCTGAAAATAGTAGCAATTTGAGCTTGAACTTAATGGTAGCCAACCCACAATTTATTTCCATCCTTGAATGTTGTCAGGTACTCTTAACTTCCCCACCGTTTTTGTAACCAAACTGGGGAAGCTTAAGCGGAAATGAAAGGGTAGGGTTGCAAGGGCTCTCGCTCAACGGATCAAATATACGTCTGGGATAACAAGCTGATGACTCCCAAGAGCACTTTCATTCTTCATGCCTGGTCCAGCCTCACAACCCTTCGGGAAAGAAGGTCGGACTAACCCCAAAAAAGTGATCATCCACATATATGAAAGCCCCAGTACAAGTAACTGGGTCGCTCTGATGATTTCCAAACTAGCTTGACTCATTCCCAGGTCGGAAAATTAAGTAAACAACTTAAGGGGACAAGAAGAGGGATGAATCAGTTTCTCTCCTTCATATTGAATTAGTGCAAATCAGACTTGGAACAAATATAGATATTAAGACAAATATATAATGAAATAAAATCAATATAGAGCAAACCTATAATTTAGGATAAATAAGACAAAACAATGGCAAATAAATAAATCGTAACAGATAATATATTTTGAAAATACGATTTCTCATGAGTGATGATTGAATAACAAAAGTGAAACAAAAACTCATTTTTTAAAACATTTAAGTGTACACTTATAATTAAGTGGGTGCCTCATTTCAATAGCTCATTTTTTTCTCTTGTGATGATTGATTAGCGGGCATGCGAGACCTCGTTCAACTCTTACTAGGTCCGCCTCTGTAACTTACTAAAAAAATAAATTTTTTATTCATGGTACATGTCTTTTTTGAATGATTTTATATTAGAAATAAAATGTTTATTTATAAATATTTATATATTGTTGACCCATAACTTTTCATTATTCATAAATGTACAATAATAGCGCAAACGGTTGAGATAGATATAATCCAAGTGTAATATGAAAAGAACACCGACTCATTCATTATTTTTGAATTTATTAAGTTGAAAATCAAAATAACCATAATTGAAAAGCAGATGCAATCTCTCTCTCTCTTTTACACACACACACATATATATATATATATATATATATATATATATATATATATAACGAGTTCAAATAAAAAAATAGAGTTTAAGTTGTGAATTGAGGAATAAAGGAAAGCACAACACGTGTTTTTCTGCATTCACAAGTTATTTATCATGAATACTATATATTCATGATGAATATGTATTATTCATCATGAATAGTGATTAAATTTCATATGGATCATGATTGTGTATTATTTATCATGAATATTGTATTCTTCTTCATTAATGTTTTATCATTCATCATGAATAGTTCATGAACTTCACATTCGTTATTCATACTGAATGTGGACGTTGGAGACACGCGTCACGCTTTTCATTGTCCTCCAGTTTACAACTGAAAAACGGTTTTCAATTGAACTTTCTCTCTCTCTCTCTCTCTCTCTCTATATATATATATATATATATATTTGTTGTTGTTCATTTATTCTCACTAGGAATGTAGAGAAGGATTTAGGTGTTTCTTTTTTAAATGATGACACGATTTGATTATAAGAAAAAAAAATCTATAAATAAGTTTTACAAAATCATTATTGATATATTGATTGGTTTTGTATATTGGATTCAGAATAGTGTGAAGAAGAAGGGAAAAGCCACACAAACTAAATATGCAACTAGAAACTTGTGTCAATCATTATATTTTCAAAAATATAAGAACACTTGATAAAACGATAAAATAACAATCTTGAGGATTTTTTATTATGACGGTCGACTTAGGGACCGTTTACCCAAATACTTACCCGGTAATCGCTTAATTACCGGTAGGAGTCAACACTATAATCTATTTTTATTAAATAAGATTGTAGTATATTAAAACAGTATCGTATATGCTTACCCGGGTAAGAGTCATCACCATCACTTACCGGGTAATTAAGACTCTATATCCCTATCATCACTCTTACCGAGTAAGATTTTCAGCCCTTGCCATGTGCATCAGATGAGGAAAGTTAACCGATCCACACTTACCAGGTAAGTATTTAGTAAACGGTCTTTTAGTCATGAAGTGATAAACCGTTCCTCCATATGTTCTTAAATAAGTCCATAACAAGAGCTATGAGAGGCCCAATTGCAAAGTAATTAAGTCATGAATCCAACACTACCACAGTGCTACTATCATCTTCTACCTTCGATAACTAATTCCTCTTATAGAACCATTTAATTTTCGGTAAGGAATTGGTTTGATGCGGATGAAGTATCCATGTTAGAGTTTGATGGATTGAATATCAAAAGTTGTTTAAGTTGGGATAAGTTAATCAGGTAACTAACTAATGCTTATTGCTTGATAACCGCTAGAATTGGTGTTTGGTTAGAATGGAGGAGACCATAGGTAAGGGTTTTAACGAGAATTTATGTAAATAAGAGAACACTTGTAAACCCATCATTAATTTTGTTTTGAGTTATAGTGTTAAAAGAATTTATAAAACAATATAATATTAAATAAATATTTACCCTTTTCTATAAATACGAAGGCACGAATGGGTAAAATGAAAAACAAAAAAAACTGCAAATCACATTATCAACAAACAGAGGCAATGATTCAATGATTGTGAACGTGATTATTACTGGTTTTCTATTTATCATAGCAAAATCTCATCATAATTAATTTAACGATTCTCATATATTCGTATATGAGTCGGAACATAAAATTGGATTGGATTAATTTGGGTACACGACGATTAAGTAATTAGACTGCAATATCATTTCATGTCGGCTTTAATTCATATACCACTTCTTATTATAAACTACATGGATTAATAATTAATATCTAAGATAAAAAGACATATTTTTTAAGCAAGAATACAAATATAAAAATAACAAAAATAAATTATTTCATTTCAAATTCTTAGATTTTTTCAATAT